TTACCTTGGTCCAACAATCCAGCGTACTATTCAACGAGAGTTTCTTCAAAAATGTAGCCTTTGGGCACCACGACCCCGCAAGAGCAACGCGGGCTGAGGTGATGCGAGCTTGTGATGCAGCTTTGCTTCAATCGACGATCGCAGGACTTCCCGAAGGTCTAGATACCAACGTCGGCGCTGATGGATACAACTTGAGCGGTGGACAGAAGCAGAGATTAGCGCTTGCTAGAGCTCGTCTTCGAGATCCCCCAGTGCTCATCCTGGATGAGATCACAAGTGGCCTTGACCAGGTTAGCCGTATGCTCATCATGGATGCCATCAGGGCATGGCGACGAGGCAAAACAACAATTATCATCACGCATGACGTCGCGCAAATCGACGCCGATGACTTCGTATACGTGATGGACAATTCATCCCTTGTTCAAGAAGGATTCAGAAAGGATCTGGATACGCAGATTGGTGGTACTTTTGCCACTCTCGCATCTACCACATCAGAGGAACCAGACACACGGATAGATATCACCATCGACTCTCCAAACTCTCCTCTTTCACCTCTGTCTCCTCTATTTCCCCCTCCTGGCAGAGCTTCGCGCCTCTCGCAAATAGTCGTTGGAAATCTGGAGTCTTTCAGTCCAGCCCCAACAAGCGCCTCTACACGATTGACTCTAGGTACAAATACAGCAGCCGCTTTTCGCATGCGCGCAGCTCGAGCTTGGGAGATGCAACCCCTCACTGTAGCTGTACCCGAACCTGAGCCTGCACGATCAAAGTCCGCTGCCGACAACCATACGATGGTCAGCTTCTACGACGAGAAGCACGATAGCGCATTGAGATCTCACAGCAGTCTGGATGGTATGGAAACATCATGCACACTGGTGTCACTCGACGAGCCAGAATACGTATTTGGTGGAGCTGAGCGTCCCAAAAGCATTACGAGACTCAGACAAACCAAGTTCAACGACACGCTTCAGTCAGACAAGGTGGATGACAAAGACAGCGAGACTAAGGATCTCCCTCCACCAATGCCTCTGGCATCGATATTCAAGACAGTCTGGCCAGCTTTGGGACGTGGGCATCGGGCTCTTCTCATCTTCGGAATACTGACCTGCCTGGTTGGCGCAGGCTCTATTCCTGCATTTGCGTATTGCTTCGCGCAACTCCTTGGTGCAATGTGGTCGCAAGGTGACAAGCTAGCAGAGGGCAAGATGTGGGCTATCTATCTCATTGTCATTGCGGTCATGGATGGTGTTTGCACCGGTGGCGGTCGATATCTTCTTGAAATGGTGGGACAAGCCTGGATCAACACCATCCGAGTGGAAGCTCTGAAGCGAATCCTCCGACAGCCAAGAGCATGGTTCGACCGATCGCGCAACTCTCCCGGCCGTATCAACGAGTGTCTTGACCGAAACGCCGAAGAGATGCGCAACATTGTTGGCAGGTTCTTGCCCATCATCATCACAGTCACCGTCATGATCATTGCTGCTGTTGCTTGGGCGCTCGTCATCTCGTGGAAACTCACGCTCGTCACCCTCGCGCCGCTGCCTGTCGTTATGGGCGCAGTCAAAGGCTATACCATTATTAGTGGGAAGTGGGAGGCGCGCTGCAACGAAGGGGCAGAAGATGCGAGCGCTGCTTTGACTGAGATCTTCCTTAACATCCGAGTTGTTCGAGCTCTCACTCTAGAACGATATATGGGTGGGAAGTATATGAAAGCAGTGAGACACACCCTGAGCCTAGGACAGAAGAGAGCAGCGCACACCAGTACACTATATGGACTGTATCAGTCAGTCAACTACCCTCTTACAGCACTTGTGTTCTACTACGGAACCGTGCTTCTGGCCTCGGAGAGGGCGATCACAGCAACGGCGGTTGTGGCAGTAGTGAACCTACTTCTGTTCAGCATGGGCACAGCGACGAGTATTCTTAGTACGATACCGCAAGTCACGATGGCTCAATCAACCGCCGCGCAGATGTTGGGGTACGCCAACATGCCCTTGGTACCCAAAAGCGAGCCTCGCGGATACTACAAACCCAAAACACCGCTCCCAGTTCGGCTTGACAATCTCGGATTCTTTTATAAGTTAAGATCGGAGAGACCAGTCTTGAGAGGAGTTTCATTTGAGGTGGATGCAGGAGATTTTCTGGCGGTTGTTGGTCGGTCAGGCTGCGGGAAGTCAACGGTGATCTCGCTGATGCTTGGTCTATATTCTCCCACCAAAACTGAGATCCTCAGCACGAGGCCACCATTGAGCTTCAATGGGTATTCCCATGCACACGTCGATATGGAGCATCTCCGATCAATGATGGCATATGTGCCACAAACGCCGTTCCTTTTCCCAGCTACAATTGCAGAGAACATTGTGTACGGCTTAAGTGAAGTATCGCACCTTCGTCAGTTTCCAAGCATTCTAGCTGCTGCGAAGGCGGCTGGTATCCACGAATTTATCACAACTCTTCCAGATGGATACAATACTCGAGTCGGGGACGGAGGTCAAGCGCTCTCAGGCGGCCAGGCGCAGCGTCTCAGCATCGCGCGTGCACTTGTACGCAAACCTCAACTTCTTGTGCTGGATGAACCTACGAGTGCTTTGGATGCAGAGAGTGCGGAAATGATCCGACATACCATGCAAAAGATTGCGAGGAAGTCAAGGCGAGATATGGCAATTGTGGTGGTGACGCACAGTAAGGAGATGATGGCAATCGCTGACCGTATTGTTGTCCTGGAGGATGGTACCAAGGCTGAGGAGGGAACATATCATGATTTGCTGCACGTAAGAGGTGCTTTTGCTCGAGTGGTTGGGGATTCAATATGGGAGGGGGGAAAGGAATTTGACTGATCTTCAGGGGTAATTGATCTTCAGGGGCATTTGGATATTGTACATATATAATTAATTCTTCTTGATCTCGATGGAGTTGAGAGCCTCCCCCAGATTTAAAGCTAAAGTGGGCCCATTAAAGTCAGCCTCGAAAATTGATTTGATCGCCGCTTGATTAATAAGCCACTAAACCGAAACAGGGTCACGGGGATAGAAGTGCGACCCCCAAAACATCCCGAAGATTCCAACGTCGTCTCCATTTCAATCTCATCGCCACCTTGAAACACCAAATACTCTTTCATTCACGTGTCACCCCATTTGCCATACAAGTATTCTTTATTTACAGTCAATCTACTCGTGTCGCAAGCTAGTTTCGACTTACCCGACAGCCTCTCACTAAGCCGCAGGGCTGACGTTGTTTCACTCACCTCTTCTAGCCTCTCACTCATCCTCATATTCACATTTCATCCACTTATATAATGACGGCGCAATCACCCCCGAAGCGCAGAAGTCGCTTATCTTCAACCACCCAAGATCACGACGATGCAGCTCTCAAGGTCCATCCCCTTTCTGTCTCTCTCCCTCCCCATTGGAACCTCCACTTACATCCCTCAGGCCCGCCGCGAACGTAACCGCGAAGCCCAAAACATCTTCCGCCGCCGCCGCCAAGCCGCCGAAGCTGCACAGGCCCAGCGCGTGCGTCGTCTCGAGCAGGTAGTCGAGGAGATGAGCTCCGTCTTCATGTCCTTTGTTGACGAGATGCTCACCACTGAAGCTGTAGTCAAGGCCCAGCCGAGTCTTGTTGGGAGCTTGAGGAGGAGTATGGAGAGGATTCTGGAGCTGGCGCATGAGGTTGTTGGGCCGGAGGAGGATCTTGTGCTGATGCCGAGAGAGGGGGATGATAGGAAGCGTGCTGGTTCTGGATCGCCGGAGAGTGAGCAGAGTGAGACGACGGAGGATTCTTCGGGTTCGATGGCTGTTGCTGTGAGGAAGACGCAGGTTCAGACGCTGACACCGCCTACGTCAACGGCCATGACTTCAGTTTCTACACCTACTCCACCATCTCTATCGACATCAGCACCGTCTTCACTATCAACACCGCCATACTTCAACTCTCAACAACCACCAATGGCCAAATCCTTCAACCTACCAACATTCTCACTCTCCCCTCAGATCTTCGGCAACGGCTGGCTCGGCACAACCCCTGCATCACCCGGCGATCTCGCCGTCCCCTCATCCACACAGCACTCAGTATTCTCATTCCGCCTCGCCTGCGACATACTGACGATAGCATGCCACCTCCTCGTAAACTCACCGCCGCCCTACGCAATGTCAGCCTGTGAATCGCGCCTCTTCTGCAACACCCTCAAAGGCCGTGCGAAAGACGAGATGCTCACACGGCTGCGCTGGCTTATTGGACCGGGTCGACATGAGATGTATCGCGTTATCGATCTGCCGTATGGACGATATGGACAGTATGTTTATTCGCGCGCGGAGCTCAACCCTTCTACGGTGGAGGATATAGAATGGCCGTGGCCTACGCAACCGGCTGGAACGCGCATCGACCACTTCACACGGTTCTTCAGCGTTGTAGGAGTCGAGAAGCAACTTCTCGCACTTGGTGCCAGGGTCGTGGATGCTGAAACTATGGAACTCAATCTGAACAACTCGCCGATGCCGAATGTCGGGCACGCTGTACCGAAACAACCCGAGAGCTGGAGCTTCGTCAATTGCTTCTCATTTCCCACAGAGCCAAAATCTGGTCCTGTTACGGTGCGGGTGAGTATACCAGCGCTCATAAAGTCGCTCGCTACGAGATCGCTCTGTTTGATGCGGGGGCCGGGAATACCGAGGTCCGAGATTGGGAGTGCGATTGAGGAGGCCATCATCAAAACAGGATGAGCACACGATAAAAAAGTTTTTATGATTTAACGAGATAGACACACACGAAAGGAAGGATTGGATCACTATCAAGGCATTTGGAATTGGATATTTGGGATGGAAGCGTTGTTATTATGGCCTAGTAAAGCGACCTGTATATTGGTATCTTAAATCCCTTTATCTGTCATAACGTCGTAATCTGTCATTTACAAGAACACAGGCCTTTCCCTTTGACGACCTGTCTACTATATACCCTACTCTTGAAAATATCATTTGTATATGAACGCACAAGGATCGTGCTCATTATCGTCTCTTAGATCTGAGTAGTCCCTCCCAGGAAACATGATGTCTCCAGGAACTCTTCTGCTCTTGCTGTCGTCGTTGAGCCGGCCGTGCCGGAGCTCGAGGATTTGTCCGTCTCGGCTGTCGAGGCCGTCGTGTGTTGATGGCGACGAATTTCATAAATTCGGCGTCTTGACTTGGTGGCAGCGTACTGTTTTTACCACTACTGGTCCTTAGAATTGGGTCGTCTTTGAGTGTCTTGGGGTGAATCTCCAAAATGGCACCTTTGTGCTCTTTTCCTAGCTTGGCCGCTTCTACGAGGCCGTTCAAGTCGATATCTCGCTTTTTCTTTTCCTTCTCTTTCATCATTCGTGTTTGGTCTGATCGCTCCATTGCTTCACGCTGTTCTTGCGTCATGGGCGTCTCGTCCTCATCGGGCTCGTGGGTCAAGTGCATCATATGAAGGATGTTCTCAACAGGGCCCATCTCTTGCTCAGGTTGTTGGGCTTCCTTGTCATCGGCCTTCTTACGCTTGAAGCAGCTGAAGGCCTTTGACAGGAGTGCGCGAGTCGGTCGCCAAATTGCAAGCCAACTGTCCGCGATTAAGTTGAAGAGACTTTGGACGAGGCTATCAGGAATTTGTCGAATCAAAGCTCCCAGCGGAATTGACATGACGCCGAAGAGCAAGCTCCATCCCCATTGGGCACCTGTAATAGGGGTTGTGTCGAATGCTTCGCCTCCCTTGAAGACGATGACGAACTGGCCAGCGATAGTGATGAGCTGCACACCGATGAACCAAGGGTTACGCAGAAATCCTTGATACCAGATATCCAGCTTGTTGTCCACGCGACGGCAGTTGTGTTGGTTAAAGAACTGCATCCAGACGTAGATGTTGAGCACCAATGTCTGGAGCTTCTCAATCTCAAATTCAGTGTCGGGGTTGAAGAGGTCCCATCCAGCGTAGTGAACAACAAAGACGACTATCAACTGGTAAATAGCTTGGCAAATGATCATCTTCCACATAGTGATGGAAATAATCGAAGCATTCCGGGGTTCGGGCTTTCGTTTGAGGAAGTCGGGCGAGGGGTGATCTGTAGCATAACCAAGAGAGGCAAAGATATCCATGATCAAGTTGATCCAAAGCAATTGAACGACGGTGAAAACAGAGTCGCCAACGAGCTCGGAAACGACGGTGATGATACCTGCGGTAATGTTGATGGTGAATTGGAACTATTGTTTGGTCAGCAAAGAACCTGGTCATATTGACGAATAGCCTTACCTGGCAAAACTTCTTGACGGAGTCATTCACGGTTCGACCCCATGCCAAAGCCTTGACGATAGAAGCAAAGTTGTCGTCGAGAAGAATGATAGATGCAGCCTCCTTGGCAACTTCAGTACCCTGGATACCCATAGCAAACCCGACATCCGCCGCCTTCAATGCCAGACCGTCATTCGTACCATCACCAGTCACAGCTACCGTCTCATTCATGCGCTTCAGATGTGTTACAAGAAGCAGCTTATCCTCAGGGCTTGAACGAGCCAAGACCTGTAGTCGCGGGATAACAGCATCAAGCTGCTCAGGAGTCAAGTCTCTGAATGTTGGTCCATCCATGGCAATGCCACCAGCTGTGTAGATACCACATTCTGTTGCAATAGCCTTGGCGGTCAAGAAGTTGTCACCTGTAACCATGCGAACAAACACTCCAGCAGCCTGACATTGACGGACTGATTCCACAACTTCGGGGCGCAATGGGTCACGGATGCCAAAGGCGCCGATGAAGATCATGCCAGAGGCCAACCATTCTAGGTTAATGTTATCGGGGTCGTCATCTGGGCCGTCAAAGATATCCTGCGCGCTAAAGTCTCGGTATGCAATGGCGACAGGTCGAAGCATCCTGTTAGCGTAGTCCTCGATAGTGTTGCGATAGCTTGCACGGTCATTCTCTGAGAGTCGTGCAATCGGTACTCTGAATGTAGGGTCCAAAACAACAAAAGCGCAATATTCAAACACAACTTCCGCTGCTCCCTTGACGAGAAGTCGATAGCGATCCTCATTGATTTTGACCAAAACTGCCATCCATTTTCGGGAAGAGTCGAACGGAAGGATCGCAACAATGGGGCAGTTGGCCCTCTCCTCGGCCAAATTGTTCATACCAAGATGTTGACGGCCAAAGTGTAGCAAAGCAGTCTCAGTGCTTGAACCCATAAAAGTAGCGGTACCAGAGTCATCATTCTCAAAGGCCGTGGAGTTGAGAGCGATACTGTCCTTGATCAACCGGCGACATTCTGGAGAGAGTGACTTTGCCATGTCGATCGAACTGTCGTACTTGATAGTCGACGCACGCGACATGGACGAATCGGGATCCGGAACAACCAGGTCGGTATCATCAAAGTAAGACTCCAATCCAACACGTCCAGCCACGACAGTCATCTTGTTCTGTGTGAGGGTGCCAGTTTTGTCGGAGCAAACTGTCGTCGCGTTTCCCATAATCTCACACGATCGGATCAACCGCACCAAGTTGTTATCCCGGAGCATACGCTTCGTGGCAAAGGCCAGTGCAACGGTCACATTGAGCGCCAGGCCTTCTGGGACAGTGATGACAACGACCGTGACGGCCAGAATCAGAATATGTAAAAAGTCCTCTGCCTTCTGAGATGGCCCTCCAGTAACGGTGTGAAGAGTGACCATGAAGCGAATAAAGAGGACAAGAAAAAAGACGGAACCTGCAACGGCACCAATAACAATGAGTTGCTTGCCAAGGCGACCAAGCTTCGCCTGGAGTGGTGTCTCCTTGACGTCGTCTCTCAACGACATGAGGATACGGCCATAGGTCGAGTTGACACCAACAGCAGTAACGAGATAGGAACCAACACCGCGCGCGACAGTGGTTCCACTGAGAATGAAGGGGTCAATTCGCGATGTAGCTGCATGGTTTGGCCTTGGTACGGTCTTGTGCACAAGATCAGCCTCTCCAGAGATGGAAGACTCGTTCATTTGCAGACTCGAAGCTTGCACAAGAACACCATCCACGGCAACAATGTCACCAGCCTCAAGGTGTAAAAGATCACCAACGACAACATCTTGAACGGGGATGCGCTGGAGTTTACCCGAGCGCATCACCGTTACATCCCTTTGTTGCTTTCGTTCATTGACCTTCTTGAACTTGTAATTCTTCTGCCAATCGGTCGCGGCGCTTGCGATGATGATGACGAGGATCGCAACCACAATTGTCACACCATCTACCCACTCAACACGCGATGCGCCTATTGACTTGTCGACGGATTGGTAGATACCAATGGCGAGTGAGATGGAAGCAGAAATAGTTAACAAAATGATAAGTTTATCATTGAATGCTATCCATAATAGTCTGAAGAAAGATTTTTGTGCTATTTGCGGAAGGCGGTTATCCCCAAATACTCGTTTTCGATCGACAAAGTGGTTGTCGCGATGTTCGAACAACCCATTGTGTAACAGCGGCGGCGACGGCGGAGGGGATGCTGCCGATAGAACCGGTGGTCGTTCAAGACTACCAGAGGCTACAGCTTCGTCCAGAGTAACAGTACCGTCCAATGTTGTTTCGTCGGCGCTTAGTCCTGCTGAGATATCGGTTCGAAGTCCAGCGGCTAAACCCAACAAGCCTCCAAACGCGCGCAGGGCGGAGATATTCTTGGCGGTCAGGAGTCGATGTAGCTGAGACGGGGTAAAAGCAAAGTTGTTGCCCTGAACATGTTCGTCGTCGTGCAAATCGAAGGGCGGGTCGACGTCATGAGGATCGGGTTGAGGATTCATCGTGTTATCGATCTTTGGCTGGTCGTGACTACCAGCGTCAAAGTTGGAGTTGTAGTTGGACCCTTCGCCAGAGCCGCCATAGCGTGAATCAGGAATACTCGTGATGTCGTCCATCAATGGGGATCTGTGTTACAGGTTTGTGAGCGCGAAGCAGCCGTTGATCCAGAGAACCTGGTACGGCACTGAGCCACAGAGATGGGTTGAATGAAAACAAAACAAAACGGAAGAAGAGGAGGAAGAGAGATTTAGTTTGGTGGATCGAAGACGGTTGGAAGGGGACGGGACGGTTGATTGATTGATTGTGGAGGAAGCACTGAAATCATGCTCAAGCTCTAGCGTGGGGGAGGCTTTTACAAAACTGTAGCCCGAAAGCGTTAGAGTCAGCCAGGACCAGCAGGAAAATAAAGAACCTTAAAGAGAAACTCGTCATACCTGGACGACAAGTCTCCACCGGGAAATGACCTTTTGGCGGGCAGAGTTGATTGTGAGTGGTGCTTGGCAGGTCAATCTCTATTCTGTGGCGGCGCAAGTCTGTCTCTGTTCTGCTCAGTTCAGTTCTGGTCTGGTCTGGGGGTCCCCGGGCGGTCCGCCTTGTGCAGAAAATACGCCATATCCAGTAACAATCAGCAGCGACACGTCGCTAACCCACTGTAACTGGTCCGCCTTACAGAACTGCCCCGTAGTTGGAGTTTGGGGAATGGAAACGCTGGGAACTGATATTGTCACTGCCCATCATCTCGGAAGGGCCGAGACTCTAGGGGGGGCTAGGTAGTCCTGAAAATGCTTGGTGCTGCTGCTGTCGTGTCTTGGCGGTCGTCTTGGCTGCAACGTCGTTTGTGCTAAGAGAGACTGAAGCTTTTTGGGCAACGGGTGTATGTCATTGTCGTCGTCATCACAGCGGTAGCCTCTGGTCTGAAGCAGAGACTCTCAAAGAAACGTCGTTGAATTAAGAATTGAAACACTAGGAAATAACGAGGAATGAGGCAGATCATGTATGCACAGTGCCCTGCTGAAAAGAAGAGCCCCAGCCTCAAATCAAACCTTACACGCGGCCCCCTCCACTGGCTGAGTCTTGACCTTCCTTGTCCGTCTCTAGCTGAGTAATAAAAAGAGGCAACCCAATTTTTCTTGGCGAAAACACAGAAAAAACCACGCCAAGATAATCAACAGTCGTATCGTCAAGTTTGGCCTCTGCCAAGGTTTCCCCAAGTGATCTACCAACGAGTCAGATGATGCGAGTATCATAACAATTCTAGAAAAACTGGAATAATTGACTCAAGCCGATGACATTTACAGTAACAAATCAATCAGATACGCGGATCCGGGCACATCTGATAACCCCGAGGGCCCCGTAGATGCCCAGACTTTTGGGATCCAGAAATAAACCGAGATGATGAGCTACGATAGGAGGTTGGAGAGAGAGGCATATTATTGGGTGGCTAAGTTCCCAGGACTACATGATACTCTCTGTCTGTGTACAATTGGGAGTGATTGTTGTGGTTGAATTGAGTTGGATTAGACTTTCAGTTACATAAGACTGTCCAGTGGTGAATGGCTAGCCACGATGAAACGGGCGCGATTGAAGCCGTTGATAACAGTCAAGCCCGCCCGTTACAACGAAAAAGTCAAACGGCACAAACTCAAGAGTAACTCCATCTTGATCAAAAAAAGCAACAAGTACAGACACAACCCACGTGCAATGAGCACAGACTCACTACACCAAGACTAATCTCCATCTCACCGTGTCGCTTTGTCCCTACAGCCTCACATCTCACAATTCATCCTTCTATCCCAAACCATCAATGAATGACACAAGAGCACAAGTCAATTTATGCTCGTGACTGCTCCTAATACTCTCCCCGTAACATTTGTATTCCACACTGCACGATCCAATTCAGTGGTCAAGACATCCTATCACTTTCAACCTATAAAGCCAGAATATTGAATACCGTATCCTTCACTTCAAACCAATCTCGTCTCGTCTGTCCAATTAATAACCCCGTCTCTTCCCCCGATCGCTTCAGCGCCCTGCCGGCCGAGACATGCATTCCCAGATCAACATCTCCAGACATATCAGTCGTACAAGAAACTTCACATCGACTCCGGGATATTTGCACGACGCTGTTCAACAAACTTCCCCATCGAGACTGTTTGCGCAGAGTGGTACAATACAGAAAATATAGATTCACGTCAGCGATAGAGACATGCCAAGTCGTTAGATGTTAAGCTTGAATCAAAGACATGGCGCTGTCTTTCGCTTCGACCTCCAAACATTGAGCACATGGTGTCGTATCCTGTCCAGCTCTGTTTCGTTTCACTACCCCTAAACTTACCCTCTAAACACCCTCAGCAGAGACCTTGACCTCAGAGCTGCCCTATCCGACGGACGTGATGCTCCAAACAAAGCAACTTCCCGTATCAAAGATCCCGTCATTGTCCTCCATTCTTCCGATTTGTCCCAGAATGCCTCGACATGACTCGCTGCTGTAGTTTGCATTGGAGAGGGCGACATCCGTTGCTGGATACCCGTTGGGTATTCTCCTTCTGGGCTCTGAATCTTTATCCGGGGTGACAGAGACATTGAATCCACATGGCGGCCTTTGACAGATTTGGATCTGTGAAACGGGTTCGGTGTTGAAGGTCTCGAACATGTTTCTTGGTATGAGGATTGATATTGTCTGGATGTGATTCAGAGATAAAGCTCCTCGACTTCCCCTTCGATCTTCAGCGGCTCCTCGAAACAACTCAAGACTATCAACCATGGAGCTACCAAGAGCCTTACTTACACTCTTTCTTCAGTTCGTCCTCTTGCCTCTAGTAACTGCTTTACCTCGTCCCCTGAATACGGGAGACGATGAAGTCTTTGCTCCCAAAGTCATGATCATCTCAATGGTATATGCCCCCTCCCCTATCTCATACCACTTCTCTAACACCATGCAACAGTGGTCCCCAGAAGCTGCAGTCTGGCACGAACGCCTCTCCGGCTCAAATCTAGGCACACTCTCCTCTAAAACTATTCATGCCCCTGGCCTCTCCATGCTCTTCCCTTGCGCTACCTGCACTGAAGATGGAAGCATCTGCCATGTCACCATTGGCGAGGGGGAGATTAACTCTGCTGCTTCACTCATGGCTCTCATGCTCTCCCCCAAGTTTGACTTTCGCCATACCTACTTCCTCATCGCCGGTATAGCTGGCGTTAATCCCAAGTATGGTACTCTTGGTTCAGTTGCCATCGCTCGTTATTCGGTCCAGGTTGCGTTGCAGTACGAGATTGACATACGATCTCTTCCTCCAGGTTGGCCCACTGGGTATATCTCATATGGTCGTGACCAGCCTTACCAACAGCCATTCATCACATATGGCACTGAAGTCTTTGAACTCAACGCTCAACTTCAAGATGCCGCATACAAACTCGCGTCCAAGGCTCAACTGGAAGATGCGAATGGCCCGAAGGAGTACCGCGCACTCTACCGCCGAATGGGCGAGACATATAAAAGTGCCTCTCAACCTCCGTCAGTCATCAGGTGTGACACTGCTACGAGTGATGTATACTACTCTGGTAGCAGACTATCCGAGTCCTTTGAGAATACTACGAAAGTGTGGACTAATGGCACTGGCGTCTACTGCATGAGCGCTCAGGAGGACAATGCAATCTTAGAAGTCCTCGTCAGAGCAGCGATTGCAAAGATCTGCGACTTCTCAAGAGTCATGATCTGCAGAACAGGTGATATCTCCCATAGCCCCTATTAATCATCTCGCTAACCCTTGCAGGTTCCAACTTTGATCGTCCTCCTCCTGACTACACCGACCTAGATCATCTCACCGCCGCCAAACAGAATGGTTTCTCGATCGCCATCGCAAATATCTTCAACGCAGGCATCGAGATCGTCAAAGGTATTCTTGAGGATTGGGACACAACATTCAAGGATGGTATCAGAGCAGAGAACTACATTGGAGATATATTCGGCAGTCTTGGTGGTGAGCCTGACTTTGGCTTTGGGAGTTTAACCCATGGTCAGCGCATTGCACCAGAGAGTAAGAGCAGTGAGTTGGCGAATAGGGAGATGGATAGGCGGAGGATCTTGACGCAGAAGTCTTTGAGGAAGATCTGAGTTAGGTAGTTAAGGGCATGGCAGTTGGGTTTGCATCATTCGGTGTTGATAATCTGGGGAGAGCGTATGGTATCATGGCGAGGTCAACCTTCTTTCTATTTTGTTTTAATAAACACTTGTCTCTGGGCCCTTTTTGGACCGCCGTCATTCTCAATCATTTCTGCCATCAGTTCTTTCATACCATTGTCGCTTTACTTTCATGAACCAATATGTTTTGCCAAACGATCTCTGGTATGCTTCGTTCCGTTCCTCACGCATCAGCAGGCCAAACGGTTTCATTGATTCACATATAAGCATCATCTCGCATCACTACAACTTTTCAAGTCACGCTACCATGGCCCATCGGCCCAAACATCATGCTCGTTCGTGGCACACAGCGTCGCCCAGCCTGACGCAACCCATAGCACTGTAAAATGAAGGAACAAAAGGAGAAGGCTCATGGCTAAGCCCCATGCTCGCGGACCGCTTGTGAAGTAATCTCCGTGGCCTTGCCTGAGGGCAGGAGAATAGCTCGTCATTTGCGGTAGGCCAAGATCTAGCGCTGCAACGCAGACGAGTGGAATGCCTACGTTCGGTTGGACCATGAGTGGCCAACAGGGCCGTGTGAGAGTGGTTATTTTAATGCCAAATAAGCCGAGGCGTAGGGCATAGCTGAGTAGCGCAGAGTTCTCGCCTGCCAGGTGCATGGATCGGATGAGAAACACAGTTGCTCTCCGTCTAAGAGCGTCAGCTGTGGTCGTGGGCGGCGGCATCAAAAGTGGAGGGCTCTGAGAGTTTCGCCTCTCGTGCATCTCTGAGTGCTCAGATGCGTCGCTGACGCTCACGGCTGGTGTTACAAAGGATCCGCGATGACTTTCTTGGCTGCGGGACATAACCATGGACTGCGAGTCACCATGTCTCGATAGAGATTGACGGTGCGGATCCAGTCGAGAGTTCTGGCCACTCTTGGTAGGCGACAGGTCTCTCGAAGTAGTCCTGGCCAATGTGCTGATCTCTTCAAAT